CACTGACGCTATTTCAGAGACGCCATATCACTTATGCCATTTCACCGACGCAATGTCGCCGACGTAATTTTACTGACATCATTTCACTGACGTCATTTCACGGACGCCGTTTCACTGACATCATTTCACTGACATCATTTCACTGACATCATTTCACTGACATCATTTCACTGACATCATTTCACTGACATCATTTCACTGACATCATTTCACTGACATCATTTCACTGACATCATTTCACTGACGCCATTTCACTGACGCCATTTCACTGACATAATTTAACTGACATCATTTCACTGAAATCATTTCAATGACTCTATTTCAGAGACGCCATATCACTTATGCCATTTCAACGACGCAATGTCGCCGACGTAATTTCACTGACACCATATCACTGCGGCAAAGTCACCGACGTAATTTCGCCGACGCCACTTGCCGACGCTGTCATAATGAAATTAGTTATTAAAAAAGTGATAATTTAAATACACAGATGATTTTAAAGATGTTGTTGTTTGGAGACTTCTAAATTTACCTGTGGGTTTTTGATTGGAGGTCATTTGTTAGTTCCATATAATCGCCTAAGTGGGTACATTGATATGGGCTTAAAATCTCTTATTAGCTTCAAAACACCTCTTTTCAGCATCACACCACCTCTTGTCAGCTTCACAAAAAATCTTGTCAGCTTTACAACTCCTCTTGTCAGCATAACACCATCTCTTGTCAGCATCACACCACCTCTTGTCAGTATCACACCACCTCTTGTCAGTATCACACAACCTCTTTTCACTGCCCAAACACCTCTTGTCAGCTTCACACTACCTCTTGTCAGCTTCACACCACCTCTTGTCAGCTTCACACCAACTCTTGTCAGCATCACACTAAATGTTGTCAGCTTCACACTAAATCTTGTCAGCTTCACACTAAATCTTGTCAGCATCACACCAAATCTTGTCAGCTTCACACTAAATCTTGTCAGCATCACACTAAATCTTGTCAGCATCACACTAAATCTTGTCAGCATCACACTAAATCTTGTCAGCATCACACTAAATCTTGTCAGCTTCACACTAAATCTTGTCAGCCTCACACTAAATCTTGTCAGCATCACACTAAATCTTGTCAGCTTCACACTAAATCTTGTCTGCTTCACACTAAATCTTGTCAGTTTCACACTAAATCTTGTCAGCATTACACTAAATCTTGTCAGTTTCACACCACCTCTTGTCAGCATCACACTAAATCTTGTCAGCTTCACACTAAATCTTGTCAGCTTCCCACTAAATCTTGTCAGCTCACACTAAATCTTGTCAGCTTCACACTAAATCTTGTCAGCATCACACCACCTCTTGTCAGCATCACACCATCTCTTGTCAACTTCACACTAAATCTTATCAGCTTCACAATAAATCTTGTCAGCATCACACCACCTCTTGTCAGCTTCACACTAAATCTTGTCAGCTTCACACTAAATCTTGTCAGCTTCACACTAAATCTTGTCAGTTTCACAAGAAATCTTGTCATCATCACACCACCTCTTGTCAGCATCATACCACCTCTTGTCAGCATCACACCACCTCTTGTCAGCATCACACTAAATCTTGTCAGCTTCACGCTAAATCTTGTCAGCTTCACACTAAATCTTGTCAGCTTCACACTAAATCTTGTCAGCATCACACCACCTCTTGTCAGCATCACACCATCTCTTGTCAACTTCACACTAAATCTTGTCAGCTTCACAATAAATCTTGTCAGCATCACACCACCTCTTGTCAGCTTCACACTAAATCTTGTCAGCTTCACACTAAATCTTGTCAGTTTCACACTAAATCTTGTCAGCATCACACCACCTATTGTCAGCTTCACACTAAATCTTGTCAGCTTCACACTAAATCTTGTCAGCTTCACACTAAATCTTGTCAGCTTCACACTAAATCTTGTCAGCATCACACCACCTCTTGTCAGCATCATACCACCTCTTGTCAGCTTCACACTAAATCTTGTCAGCTTCACACTAAATCTTGTCAGCATCACACCACCTCTTGTCAACTTCACACTAAATCTGGTCAGCATCACACCACCTCTTGTCAGCATCACACCACCTCTTGTCAGCATCACACCACCTCTTGTCAGCATCACACCACCTCTTGTCAGCATCACACCACCTCTTGTCAGCATCACACCACCTCTTGTCAGCATCCCACCACCTCTTGTCAGCATCACACCACCTCTTGTCAGGGCCCCCGCTATTCCAGGTCCTTCAAGTGTCAAAAACCGTGTTGTAATATGGCAAATGCTGACATTAAGGGTCAAAGGTCGGTGTGATGTGTCGAACCCTAGCGTCACTGTCTCAAGCTCACTGCTGGCGTCATGCTAGTCTGATAGTTTTCTCACACCGATCCACTGTTGAGTAGCTTTGCATCATTTATAATCACGGGAACTTGTTCAATGAAGCCACCGTGTCAACATTGGATGTGTACGCATGTCAAAATGACAGCGAAACATTCACTTGCTAGAAGTTAACATTGTTTCGGATTTTTCCCCGGTGTGACATTACTAGCTTGTGTGACATTCTTAGCCGCTGTGACAATCCTAGCCGGTGTGAAATTACTAGCTTGTGTGACATTCTTAGCCGCTGTGACAATCCTAGCCGGTGTGAAATTACTAGCTTGTGTGACATTCTTAGCCGCTGTGACAATCCTAACCGGTGTGACTTTACTAGCTAGTATGACATTCTTAGCCGCTGTGACAATCCTAGCCGGTGTGAGACTACTAGCTTGTGTGACATTCTTAGCCGCTGTGACAATCCTAGCCGGTGTGAAATTACTAGCTTGTGTGACATTCTTAGCCGCTGTGACAATCTTAGCCGGTGTGACACAACTAGCTTGTGGGACATTCTTAGCCGCTGTGACAATCCTAGCCGGTGTGACATTACTAGATTGTGTGACATTTTTGGCCGCTGTGACAATCCTAGCCGGTGTGACATTCCGAGTGGGTTTGAAAGAAGATTTAAAGGCAAAATACAAGGTACGTGACAATTTGAAATTTGCCTGACAACATAATAAAGACAGTGAACTGTTTATATCACGAATTGAGCGTAGAGCTTTTTCACAGCTGATAAGTTCTTTGGAGAGAACACTACAAAGGTCTTTTCCCAGAATACCCCAAAAGATACTTATGTGAATGTTTAGCGATTAACGACAAGGACATAACACAACTAGAAAGTTTTATTGACGTCATTGGAGATTTTCATCCAACAATCAAATTCACTTTAATGATCTATAAAAGTACTATCAATATTTGGACTTAAAAATTAACCTTTATGAGAACAACATATCTACAACCATTTTCTATAAGAAAACAGACAGTCATAGTTTCTTACTATATTCATCGTCTCATCCTCAATCATGTTAAAACTGCATCCCTTTTTCTCAGTTGCTGAGACTGAGAAGACTTTTGTGGAAACCTTTTTTCCAACGCGGGTGATATCATGAACACATTTTAAAAGCAGCTGTCACTCGAGCTAAAGATGTAACTAGACAGGATTCGTTTAAAGCTACTCATTCTGACAGTAGTGATAGGTCTAAATTTATTTTAACTTTTTTTCCTCATAACTTTAAAGCTCGTTTTCTGGTTCTAAGAAACCGGTTCATTCTTATGGCAGACCCTATCACCAATGAGATTTTCAAAAAAAACTCCTCTTTTCGCTTTCCGGTGGGACAAGAGCCCTGCGGACATTAAAGCAAATAAAGACACAAAAAATTGCAATCATAGCCGTTGTAACACATGTCCCTACGTGATTGAAGTTGACAAGATCACTTTTCCTCTGGAAAAAATCAGAATAAAAGATAGCTTTAACTGCAAAATTTGCATCCTTTTTTACACCACCCTTTGTAAAAAGTGCGGTAAATTATACGTAAAAGACATGTCGTCACCTTGGAGACAGGTTTAGAGAACACCTCAAAAAATTAAAATATACAAGCTTTCTGTCCGGTCTCCAAACATTTCAATAGCAATACCATGATGGAATTTTAGACATCGCAGTTACTGGTATACTGTATACCAGTAATACGCTGGATATGATCTATATGGAGAATAAATTAATTTCAAGATTTGGAACGTTGACTCCATACGGGATAAACCAAATCCAAAATTTAACGTAGCTGCAATGTCTTTTTCCTGGTTTTTTTTTTACATTTTACTTCAAATTACTTCCTTCCCATTGTTCCTTACCTTGCGTCTGTCTGGTTTTTGCGCCCACTCCGATTTGTTCTCTCTTTTAGGTAGGATGCATGATTATATACATTATGTAAATTTAATTATTTAATTTTTGTGTGGTTATACTGATGAAGGCATGTGCCGAAATGTTTAATTGTGTATGATGTAAAATTATCTTTAAAGCTTAACATATATTTGTATATTGACACAAATTGTTCTAATTAGTCTATTTTAAAGCTTTATCGCAGTCCAACACTCTTATAATTAGCTTATCTATGAATTTTTTCATTACTATAGATCAAAACTGATTAAGCTTATAATATTTATGAATGGTTCCATTCCTATAGATCAAAGTTAATTAAGCTTAGAAACTTGTAGATTTGTGTGAGTCGCAACAAATGTAAAAAAACAAAACAAAAAACAACAACTTTCAATGGAATCAATTTATCAAATTGCATTATTTTTTTGGAGTTTCAAAATAAATAGATTTTACCAATAAAACCTTTAGAGTTTTACGCCTTTTAAAGAACATGTGCGCAATAGGTCTTTCGTCAATAAAATTGTTTAAACATTTTAAACACTGTTCTTCAAAATGTTTAAAATAAAAAATGTTTCGGGAAAGTAATGAAAACACCTTTAAAGAAATAAAATAGCAACTTAAACTAATGATGTGTGTGTGTGTGTGTGTGTTCTGCAGATACTTTCATCTGGCACCAAGTACTGATGACGCCCTGCAAAATCTGAAGAGACCAACAACACTCCTATAATGGTTGCCATACTTTTATCAGCAGAAGTACGTAATCTGGACTCGAACTGCCGTCTGCATACTCATTGCTCCAATCTCCGTTCTCGGTGCTATCGGTAACATCATCAACATTAAAACTTTCACACGTCTTGGCATCTCAGACGGCATGATCATGTCCCTTGTATCCTTGGCAGTGTTCGATCTCTTGTTTCTCATCTCTGCGTGCATTAATACCACCATCGTGATGCTTCACTGTGTTGAGGAACTCTCCAACTTCAAAGTCTGGTTGCCCAATGATCCGGTGGTCGCCTTCTCGGTTTTCACAAGCCTCGGAAGTGGCCTCTACGCCAACTCAATGCTAGTGACGACGTTCATCACCGTGATCCGATGTCTGGCAGTTGCCCATCCATCAAAATACAGAAATTTGCTTTCATGGCAAACCACAGTCAAGATCATATCAATGTTTACCGTTCTGTCTCTCACTTCCTCTATTTTGTTGCTAGTGTTTGTGGAAATTCCACCAAAATTTGACTCTAATGCGAACACTATAAGACGATCTTTGTTGGTCTTTCCAGAAAGAACGTTGATGAAAGACATAATTTATGGAACAAGAGACGTATTTTTACCACTGGCCTCTCAAATAATATTCGGCATTTGTGTCGTCATTATGGCCAGGTACCCCAGAAGCGCTTCTCAATTTCGTTTAAAGCTATCAAAGAGTTTAAGTAAGAACGACAATTCTGTAATCAAAGATGACGTAAGGGATAAAAAAGCTTTGACCGACGAATCTCATTCAGCCAATCTATTCGGAAAGGAACTTCAAGCAGTTCAACAAATGCTGCTCATAGCCGTAGTCTACAGTCTGTGCAACATGCCGAAAGTTGTATCAATATGACACAAATTATTATGTCTGACTTCTATATGGACCGGCGATACAGTGCTGTGTATTTGACAAGCAATATTATTAGAGAACTAATTCAATCGGTGAATGCCAGCGTGACCATTTTCATATACTGGAAATATAATTCAAAGTTTCGGGGTCATTATGTTTGTCACCACTGAGTAGTGCTATCGTTCTTCACCACTGATAAAGGATACGGAGTCACTTGACTCTGACTAATGAGTAGGTTTACGGAGTCACTTGATTGTTTACCACCGAGTAGGTCTACTCATTCTTTTACACCTGAGGTTATCTAAGGAGCCACTTCATTTTTCAACCCTGAGCAAGTCTACGTAGTCACTGTATTATTGACCAAAACTATTTAAAATAATGGTAATACACGTTAGATGAACTGTTTAAACAACTCTATTCTTCAAATATGTTTAAGGTCGCATTGGAAATATTTCAGCACGGTTCATTGTGTGGTAAATGAACGCTGTTAATTTTGATTCGAATTTTCTTTTAGATCAGGGACATGCAAAGTGTACGGTGGCGTCATTGGTGTTACTGTAGCTGGGTGCTCTTTAAGGTTTGGTACCAACTTAAAATAATATGATTTTTCTGGGGTGGGAGGAGTCGAAATAGCTGCCTGTGAGGTTGGGAGGAGTCGTAAAAGCACCCTGTGTCGGGTGGGAGGCGTAACCATAGGGCACTTTTGCGTTGAGAGGATTCACAAAAGCGCCCTGAGTGGGGTTGGAGAGGTAGCAATAGGGCCCTGTGGGGAGAGAGGATTCACAAGAGCGCCCTGTGAGAGGTGGAACGAGTCACTATGGTCAACCCAGGCAGCATTTAGTGAATGGATTTGGTGAAGTTTTTACTTTTTCAATATCTTATGCTCCAAAGATTGCAAAAACAGGAAAAAAGATATTTGTCAGTTTATAAGAAGGAAATATAACAATGTCTTTCTTTTCTTCCGAGATTCATTGACTTGGGAAATAAATGTACTGTCTTAAAAGACAACGATGATGCAGGCGTGAAAATGAAGATTGAGTTTTTGTTCCATTCTCGGGTGGATGGGACTCGTTAGCCTTGGCTGGCAACTCACCTAAGAGAAGAAAACTTTGAATTCAAAACTCGAAGATGGAGTCCCATAGGCGGATAAAATTAGCGCAATAAAACATTCCGACAACGCCTGCGTTGCCCATGCTGCCAAGCTGTATCATCCAAATGATGTTTCCTTGGATTGCCCAGCAGTGTGGAGAGAGGCAATTGGCTGTGTATGGAACCAGCTTATAGTCGTAAAAAGTAGCCCTTGGCCTTGTGGAACTTAATGCGAAGTCTCCACTATCGTCACTTTGTGACGGACGGATGCCAGCAGGTTGAGGACAAGGAAAAAGGTTTGGATAAATTGTTCGTGGATACCAACATATCAGGAACACGTGTTAGAACCAGATTCAAGATGTTATTTTAAGATTGAAACATTTTGGAGAGTTTAGAATGAATGAACAACGTGCGCATAGGCAAGGAAGACTTTACGGTGCCAGGTAAACTATGGCGCCAAACGTGCCACTGGAAACATTGGTTCATATCTTCTAGTATTGCAATAAATGGTTTCTAATAAAAAAAATTCAATCCTTATAAAGTTTCAATTTTTACTATGATTAATAAAGCTCTAACCCTTTCTTAAACAGGTTCTCCTCTGTCTCTTTATTATTATTATTATTATTGTTATTATTATTAGTGGTATTATATAGCATGGTACCCAGGCTAGGTCTGGTCTCACCACGCCCTACATACATTTTAACAAACATAATCATGAACTTAAATAATTAATTAACATACATTAATTACGTAAAACAAAACAAATGCATATTCACTCGACATATTCAAGAATTAGTTACATGTCAAGCCATGGACGGCACCTAGAAACATCGTTTATTGGTAATAGGGGGGAATCAGTCAGGATAGTAGAGTTAAAGAGATGTGTTTGGATGTAGTTTTGAAGGCTGTGATGATCGGTATATTGCGGATGTGTAATGGAAGAGAAATCCATTGGTTAGAGGCACAGAGAGAGAGAAATATCGTTCACCGTATGTTTTTGTGCGAATATTTGGGATAGAAAGAATACGCACTCTGTGGAGGAGCGAAGCTGTCGAAGGGGTGAATAAACAGAAAGAAGTTCGGTAAGATAGGAATGGAAGGATTTCGAGACATGTTGTGGCAGAGAACAGAGAGTTTGTAGTCAATCCGTGCTTGTACAGGGAGCCAATGAAGTGAATCAAGTAGTGGTGTGACGTGATCATGGTTTTTTTTGCTTTTAGACCTAGCCAAGTAGCTGAGCTTTGATTTCTAAGAAGTGTTTTATTGAACCTTACAGAAGAGAGTTGCAATTGTCAAGCAGAGAGAGAGAGAGAGAGAGAGAGAGAGAGAACAAGAGCATAGACTAGGGTTTTTGTTGCACTGACTGTGAGGTAGTGGCGGATGGAGCTGATTGGACGAATAGCGGTGTATGCAGAGTGACAAATATGAGAGATGCGATTATCAAGATACATGTTTTGTTATCGTTAAGCTTCAACTTGCTGAGTGTAATCCATGACTTGACATCACCAATGCACTCCCGCAAAGTCCGGAAAGCGTAATCGACAAGAGAGGGATGGGTATGCTTGTATAGCTGCGTATCATCTGCGAATGTTTGGCTCTCCACAACATGCCTGCCGTGCAAGAGGAGCAGGGGCCTGGTATACATATATATACGAGAATAGAATTGGGCCCAAAACGGACCCCTGTGGCACTCCGTACACCAAGTCAGCTCTGCCGGAGAGATAACCATCGACAGCGACCGCCTGCGTCCTATCGGAGAGGTAGGACCTAAACCAAGCCATAACTGAACCAGAAATTCCAAAATAGTTTTCTCGGGTTTTGTAAAGGGTTTCATGGTCAACAGTGTCAAAGGTCACACTGAGGTCTAATAGGATCATGATCGAGATATTCCCGCTGTCCAATGTGAGCGAGAGGTCATTTGTGACTCTCAAGAGAGCCGTGTCAGTGCTCTGGAAAGGTCTAAAGAGACTGACTGATTGGGACTGAGAAGAGAGTGGCCGTTTAAGTAAGCAAAAAGTTGTTATAGAACTAGTTTTTCAATGACTTAGATAAAAATGATAAGTTAGATACTGGTCTATAGTTTTTAAATTATTTTCATCCAGACCAGGCTTCTGAAGCAATGGTTTGATGACAGCTGATTTTTTACAAATAGGGGGGAAAGTGCCAGAAGACAAGCTTTCATTGACTATTGCCTTATCGTTCGGAGCAAATGATCTAATGACTCAACCAACAGGGGGGTAGGGGTGGGGATGGTATTCAAAGAACCTGACGCAGGTCTACACTTCAGAATAATATTTTTTACCTCTTGTTCTGAAAATGGTTTAAAAAATCCAACGATGAACTAACACAAGAAAAAGGAGGCAAATCTAGGGGGGATATGTCAAGACGATCAAGCTCTTATCATGTTCTACCCTTGTCCTTATCATGTTCTATCCTTGTCCTTATCATGTTCTACTCTTTTCCTTATCATGTTCTATCCTTGTCCTTATCATGTTCTACTCTTGTCCTTATCATGATCTACTCTTTTCCTTATCATGTTCTATCCTTGTCCTTATCATGTTCTACTCTTTTCCTTATCATGTTCTATCCTTGTCCTTATCATGTTCTACTCTTGTCCTTATCATGATCTACCCTTGTCCTTATCATGTTCTATCCTTGTCCTTATCTTGTTCTACTCTTGCCCTTATCATGTTCTACTCTTGTCCTTATCATGTTCTACTCTTGTCCTTATGATGTTCTATCCTTGTCCTTATCATGTTCTATACTTGTCTTTATCATGTTCTACTCTTGTCCTTATCATGTTCTATCCTGTCCTTATCATGTTCTATCTTTGTCCTTATCATGTTCTACCCTTGTCCTTATCATTTTCTACCCTTGTCCTTATCATGTTCTATCCTTGTCCTTATCACGTTCTTCTCTTGTCCTTAACAGTTCTATCCTTGTCCTTATCTTGTTCTACTCTTGCCCTTATCATGTTCTACTCTTGTCCTTATCATGTTCTACTCTTGTCCTTATCATGTTCTATCCTTGCCCTTATCATGTTCTACCCTTGTCCTTATCATGTTCTATCCTTGTTCTAATTTTGTTTGAAGAAAGTTCAATCTAGTTTTCAATATTTTGTTGATTTATTATTTTAAAAAAAGTTCAAGTACTATTCTAAATTATTAAAGCCATTTTGAATAATATCGGCAACTTTATCTTGTTTTTTTTCGATCAAGTTTGAATCTCATATTTGCTGAAAACCAACATGTTTCTGATAAACCAACATGTTTCTGATAAACCAACATGTTTCTGATAAACCAACATGTTTCTGATAAACCAACATGTTTCTGATAAACCAACATGTTTCTGATAAACCAACATGTTTCTGATAAACCAACATGTTTCTGATAAACCAACATACTTCTGATAAACCAACATATTTCTGATAAACCAACATGTTTCTGATAAACCAACATGTTTCTGATAAACCAAAATGTTTCTGATAAACCAACATGTTTCTGATAAACCAACATGTTTCTGATAAACCAACATGTTTCTGATAAACCAACATGTTTCTGATAAACCAACATGTTTCTGATAAACCAACATGTTTCTGATAAACCAACATGTTTCTGATAAACCAACATGTTTCTGATAAACCAACATGTTTCTGATAAACCAACATGTTTCTGATAAACCAAAATGTTTCTGATAAACCAACATGTTTCTGATAAACCAACATGTTTCTGATAAACCAACATGTTTCTGATAAACCAACATGTTTCTGATAAACCAACATGTTTCTGATAAACCAACATGTTTCTGATAAACCAACATGTTTCTGATAAACCAACATGTTTCTGATAAACCAACATGTTTCTGATAAACCAACATGTTTCTGATAAACCAACATGTTTCTGATATTTCCTGAGCTTACTTTTCTCTGGGATTCCAGTTTTTTTTTTTAATATTATTAGTCATTTATTCCTCGTAGAATTGATGTGATTCGTTTTCCTTTGTGCCAACAGGAAAAACGGTACTCTAAAGCCATAGACCTGAGCGATTTGATCGAATGTGTCTTCATGACATTACACCCCAGAAACGTGACAGACCACAAATATTGTCACGTGACAATTTCGATCCGCAGCTCTACGTAAGGATGATTTGTTTTTCTACGTCACGCTGTCCCGCTTATCGAATTCAAGCGTCTTACCTCTGTCGACCTAGATGCTCTAATACGAAGATCGTTTATCGCACTCAGATGATCATACTTTAAAATTCGATTGCTTGTGAAGGATACGATGCAGACATAGTTAAAAGGATAATTAAAAACAAAATGCAAAGATGACATGTCTTTATGACGTGTCAAGTAAGATTTTAGACATCATAGTAATGTGTCTAGTGTTATTGTAAGGTGTCACATGTGGTTGATTGTAAGGTGTCCCATGCCCTTGATTGTAAGGTGTCACGAGCCCTTAATTTTAAGGTGTCACATGCCGTAGATTGTAAGGTGTCACATCCCTTTGAATGCAAGGTATTACTAGCCGTAGATTGTAAGGTGTCACATCCCCTTGAATGCAAGGTATTACTAGCCGTAGATTGTAAGGTGTCACATCCCCTTGAATGCAAGGTATTACTAGCCGTAGATTGTAAGGTGCCACATGCCATAGATTGTAAGGTGTCACATCCCCTTGAATGCAAGGTATTACTTGCCCATGGTGGTAGATATTACTGCAGCAAGTGTTCTAAGGTTCTCAACGTCACTATAGGGTGTCACGTGACCATTTCGAGGCGTCCGACGTCATTGAATGAAGTCACGTGTCATTGAATGTGGTCACGTGTCCAAAGAATGTGTCACATGTTTTAAGGTGTCGTGTATCATTGTTCAAGAAACCTCACAGCGTCTTACATCCCAACGATCCTATTGAGTATTAGGGTGTGGGGGTAGGTTATAACCATGTAAGCATGGATTAGATTAAGCCAAGGAGCCAACATTGAATCTTTTCTAATGCAATAATGACAGTTAAACACAGAGTCGCTCAAGACAATAACGTTTTAGGACAATGTCCTGACTGAAACGTCCTACGTAAAACGTCCTAGTGGTAGCGAATGGAGATGAAATGAAACACCAAGAAAATTGCTTGCCAGTAATAGACTTATTGCAATTTGGATTCAAAACAATTGGACTAGGAGATTGTAAAATACAAGAAAGATGAACAGCTAAAGAAATGATTCAAATTGCTGTAAACTTATGTCACTTGAACAAACAAGGCGTTGGAAATAATGGACCACTCAACAGTTTTTCCATTATGTCATATGCAAATAAATTGACAAGATTTCGGAAGGACAGGTCGATGCACTTGATTGTCAAAAAATTCTTTAAGGTGTTTCACACAATATCAGCTACTAACAATTGGTTATAATTATAATGACAGGCTTTTAATTCATTAAATGTTTTTAAAATAGTTTAAAAAGCCCGCCAGATGTTTCTATAAATTGCTGCTAACTCTAACGAGTAAAAACAATGCTCTGAAGACATTTTAAATTGAAACGTAGCATGTATTTCAGCCTAGCAACATAGTATGTATACCAATCCTGGCAAGGTAGTATGTATGACAACCCGGCAAGCTAGTATATATGACAACCTGGCAACTTGTATAGACCAAAGTTTTTTATAAAATGGATACCAAACATTTGTCAGCAGGTGATCAAAACGAGACCTGGACTGTAACTGTCGTCTGCATATTAATAGCATCAATCACCCTTCTCGGTGCGGTCGGCAACGTCTTTATCATCAAAATATTCCTTCGCCTCGGGATCTCAGACGGCATGAATATTTCCCTGCTATCGCTGGCGTTGTTCGATCTCTTCTATCTCATACCTGCGTGCATCAACTCCGTCAGCGTGATGCTCCAAGGTGTTGAGGAACTCTCCAGTTTCAAAGTCTGGTTCCCAGTTGACCCTGACGTCGTCCACGTGATATCTACCAACATCGGAGCCTGCTTCTACGCCCTGTCAATGCTTGTGACAACTTTCATCACCGTGGTTCGATGTCTGGCCGTGGTTAGTCCATTAAAATATAGGACACTGCTGTCGCGGACAACTACGGCAATCATAATCTCATCGTTTGCTGTTGTTTCTGTCCTGTTCGCCGTCGTATTGTTGGTGTACATCGGCGTCTTCTCTCAGTTCGTCTCTAATATCAACACCACAAGACTGGTTTTGTGGACCTCACCAAAACGCGCTCTAATCAAAGATACCATTTTTGGAATTAGGGACGTGTTCTTGCCATTGACTTCGCAAGCAATAGTTGGCATATGCGTCATTATAATGGCCAGCTACCTTCAGAAGGCTTCTAAATTTCGCCACAATATTTTGAGTGATCCACGAGGAAAAATTAACATTTTAAGTAAAAGTTCTACACCAGCCAAACTTTTTGGGAAAGAACTACAGGTTTCCCGGCAAATGCTGCTCATAGCATCAGTTTATTTATTTATTTATTTATTTAGGCATTTTTATATAGCGCTTATCATAAAGCTCTAAGCGCTTTACAATTATTAAAACATGTAAACTAAGTAAAATAAAAATGAGACACTAGGATAGTAACTACAAAGCGCTTTACAATTATTAAAACATGTAAACTAAGTAAAATAAAAATGAGACACTAGGATAGTAACTACTATTCTATAGAAACAATGAAAATGGCTATAAAAAGAGGACACTTTGACACTTCAGGATTAAGCCGAAACAGAAAATGAGGTAGGGCAAGGAGAGTTTACAGTTTGTGCAACATGCCAAAAGTTGTCTTCAATTTGACCCAACTTGTCTTACCTGATTTCAACAGGGGTGGCCGTTACAGTTCAATGTATTCAACATTCAATATTATAAGATAACTAATTCAGTCGGTTAACGCCAGCGTAACATTTTTCATTTACTTGAAGTATAATTCAAGGTTTAGGAATCACTTCGTTCTTCACCATTGAGAACTTCTACGGTAGTAACTCCAACCCTTTTTACACACGAAACAATTTTGGAATACATTTTTAAAAGGAAGGGGGGGGGGTGACTTAAGGCATTTTATTTAAGTTAGCAAGAAGATGGCTGAGATGTAAATTTATAAATACCGAAATTGTTCCAAAAAAAAAAAGGGAAAGTGATGTATATATGCTGATAAAAATATGCATCTTCAATGCGGGAAGCTAGGGTAAGAATGAGGGAGTAACTCAAACTGTAACATTCGGAGATGGAGTCCCGAAGTGGATCTGACGCCGATAACAATGTAGTTTCCGCAACTCCTGCAACTTAGTCTGTGCCAAGCTGTATTGACAATGGTCATTCCCTTGATTCCACTTGTTGCGTGGAGAGTGGGGATCTGCTGCACTGGGCAATAGCTTGGCTCCATATATCACCGCCCATGCTAAGTAGCTGTTATGGTGACGTCACTTTAAGAGGAGCAATTTTTTTTTTAAGGGAAAAAAATAAATAGAAGGAAGAATCAACCTCTTCGGTTCGCAACATGGAATGTGAGAACCATGTGTCCTGGATTGGACACACATTGAACAGATTTACAACGCAAGGAAGACTGCTGTCATTGACAAGGAACTCGCCAGACCAAACATTGATATTGCATGCCTTTAAGAGACCCGACTAGTGGATAGTGGTACCATCAAGGAAGCCAGCTACACATTCTACTGGCAGGGGAAACCCGCAGATGAGCCTAGGTGGCATGGTGTTGGATTTGCCTTTAAAAGCACATTACTGGCCTGTATTGAACCTCCTTCTTTGCGATCGGAGAGGATTCTGCGACTGCGGATATCATCATCAACGTATTCAGTGCCGACTGTGACACGGACCATTCTCTCGTAGCAAGCAAGATACGACTAATGCCCAAAAAAATTGCATAATGCTAAAAAGAAGTGTCGTCCACGAATTAAAATCCACCACTCAAACAACCCAGAATAAACGCTGCTATTCACAAAAGTGTTGCAGGACACCCTTGCTAAATGAACCCACGATGAAACTATTGACTCCAAGTGGAGTCATTTACAAGATGCTGTGTACGATTCAGCCATGTCCGTCTACGGTAAAAAGGAGCATAAAATAATGAATGGTACGAGATGCATCGGAATGTGATGGAACCCGTAATTGAGAGGAAGAGAAGAGACCTTCTTGCCTATCGGAAAGCACCTTGTGCTAGTACACTACAGGTTCTCCGAACTGCAAAAAAAAAAAAAAAAAAAAAAAAAAAAACTAAGCAAATGGCCCGCCAATGTGCCAACACTTACTGGCTAGATCTTTGAAACTCTATAAAATCGGCTTCCGACAACGGAGATGCAAGGAGCATATACGAGGGCATTAAGAGGGCATTAGGTCCACACACTTCAAAAATAGCACCACTCAAATCAAAGACGGGTCAAATTATCCAGAACCCAAATGATCAACTCCGCGTTTGGTAGAGCATTATCTTGAACTATACTCAACAATGAATGTAGTCACTATGAATGCTCTGAATAATATTCCCGTGCTGTCGGTAAGGGAACAACTGGATGAAGAGCAAACTTAACAGTAGCTCGAAAAAGCATTGATTATCTAGCTGATGGGAAGACACCAGGGATTGGCGGCATTCCAGCGGAAGTCCTCAAAAAAGGGAAACTCTATTCTACTTCATCCCTTACCTGAGCTCCTCTGTCTGTGTTTGGAAACAGGTCACATTCCACAGGACATGAGAGACGCCAACATTGTAACATTGTATAAAAGTAAAGGGGACCGAAGTGATTGCAATAATTACCGAGATATTTATCTCCTTGGCTTAGTTTGAAAGACTTTTGCCGTGTTGCACTTAAACGATTGCAGAGTTTGGCGAACTGCATCCATCCCAGAGTCCAGTGTAGCTTCCGGAGTGGGCTCTTAAAAATAGACATGATATTCTCGTTACGCCAAATGCAGGAGAAATGTCATCAACATCATATGCCCCTTTATATTGATTTCATAGACCTGACAAGGCATTTGACTTGGTTAGTCGGAGAGGCCTTTTCAGTATGTTGCAAAGAATAAGTTGTCCCCCACGACTTCTCACAAACATACAGTCATTTCACAATAACATGCACAGCACGATAACTTTCAATGGCGTAGTCTCTGAGTCATTCTTAGTGAGAAGCGGAGTAAAACAGGGTTGTGTACTAGCCCCAACGCTCTTATCCATTTTCTTCTCGATGCTACTTCAATTTGCCTTCAGGGACTGTGAAGATGGAGTGTACGCCCATACCAAATCTGATGGTAGGCTGTTAAATATCGCCCGCCTTCGTGCAAAGACAAAAGTAAAAAAGGTGCTGATTCGTGAACTGCTGTTCGCTGATGATGCCGCTTTAACATCACAAACAAAAGAATTTCTTCAGGGGCTTATTAATCGCCTATCACATGCTTGTAAAGAGTTTGGACTTTCGATTAGTCTACAGAAAACTCATTTAATGATGCAAGAAGCACCGTCCCCTCCAATCATCTATTGAGGGCCATAATCTTTCGGTTGTTGAGCATTTCACATACCTTGGATCCAATATTCCTAGTTATCTCTTCGTTGATGAAGAAATAAATATCAGGATCGCAAAAGCAGCAGCAACTATGGCTAAACTGAATAAGCGGGTGTGAAATAATCTCAATCTAACTGATAAAAAAAAATAAGTGTCTATCAGGCATGTGTACGCTCCTATATGGTAGCAAAGCGTGGACCACATATATCAGTCAGAAGCGGAAACTCAACAGCTTCCATCAAAGATGTCTGGGTCACATTTTATGCATTCGATGGCAGGACAAAGTGTCTACCATGGAGGTCTTGGAACATGCACAAAAGTGTATCATATTCTCATTTCTTAACAAGGCTCGACTTCACTGTTCAGGCATGTAAGGAGAATGGAGGAAGGCCGTATCCCAAAGATGCAGCTGTATGCAGAGTTGGCAGAATGGACAAGACTTATTGGATGGCCACGCCTGAGACTTATGGACGTTTGCAAAAGGAGCATGAGGGACGCCAATATTAAAAACAACGAATGGGAGCACATTGCCGAACAACGTTCCATCAGGCGAACAGCGGTAAAAAAGGCAGAATATACGCGAAAGGAGACCCTTGCTTCAAAAGGAACAATAAGGAAGTCAAGTTCTCACCAGGAATCAATATTCTCCTGTGAGAAATTCAGTCGATATTGCCATTCTAGGAGTTGCCCAGTGAGCCACTCGTCGAAGTGTAGGACTACAAAACTACTCCATCGTCTCGCGAAGACAGAAGGATGCAATATATAATAGTCTTAAGGCGATACATGAAGGGGCCGTTGTGTTCCTCAGAAGTGAACTCTCCCTGATTGTCTAGGGGATGGCTGTCCTTTGCAACAGCAACACACTGTCTGATATTACTAGCGGGTGTGACATACCAGCCGGTGTGACACACCGAGTGGGTTTGAAAGAAGATTAAAAGGTAAAATGCAAAGTACGGGAAATTGGCTTGATAACATAATATAGGCTTTTAATTGTTTATATTATAAATTGAGCGCAAGAGCTTTTCACAGCTGATTAAGTTCTTTGGAGAGAACACTGCAAATGTCCTTTCCCAGAATACTCCAAGAGATACATAGATGATTGCACAGGGATTACCAACATGGACTTAACAGAACTAGAAAGTTTGTTTGACTTCTTTGGAGATTTTGATCCAACAATCAAATTCACTTCAATGATCCTTAAAAGTACCATCAATTTTTGGACTTAAAAATTAAACTTAATGGGAACAACATATCAATGTCAAATTACTATAAGAAAACAGACATTCACAGTTTCTTACTTTATTTATCATCCCATTCTCAATCATGTTAAAATTCCATCCCTTATTCTCAGTTACTGAGACTGAGAAGACTCTGTAGCAATGATGATCATTTTTGGGAAAAGACGGTTAAACTGTTGGATTTTTTCCAACGCGGGTGATATCTTGAACACATTTTAAAAGCAGCGGTCACTCGAGTTAAAGTTGTGACTAGACATGATTCTTTTAAAGCTACTCATTCTGACAGTAATGATTGGTCTAAATTTATTTTATTTTTTCACCCCGATAACATTAAAGCTCGTTATCTGGTTCTCAGAAATCGTTTAATTCTCATGGCAGACCCTGTCACCAATGAGATTTTCAAAAAAAAAACTACTCTTTCCGTTTTCCGGGGGGACAAGAGCCTTAGGGACACGATAGTTGGAAGCTACCTCCCTGCTAGTAAAGCACAAAAAGGTACCAAAAATTGCAACCATAGCCGTTGTAACACGTGTCCCTACGTGATTGAACTTGACAAGCTCACTTTTCCTCGGGAAATAATCAGAATAAAAGATAGCTTTAA